TGCTGAAGAGATGACTAAGTTTCCCCTCCACCAGGATGGAGGATAAAATGCCTGAGTTTCTCCTTCCCAAACATAGTGAATCACAGGTCTGTGATTCTCAGAACATTTGGAGCTGTTTCTTACCACTGTCAGAGGAGTCTTCTTTCTTGGACCTCATCTTTCTCTTTCGGCCACGTTTGCCCTTCTTTGTCTCTCCCCCATTCTCTCCTTCCCCACCATCAAGGCCAGAGCAGTTATCAGCATGTCTGGCCATTGTGTTCTGCTCAGTGGAAGAGGAAAAAAGACAACAAAAAATACAACATGCATTACATTCAAGATCAGAAATCTATCTCTGCATTTTCAAACACAGTTGTGACAACTTATGTCTTTTTTTTTTCTTTATCAAGGACAACTCTTTAAGGTAAGGTAAGGTTCAAGGATTTAATTAACTTCCATTCACACAGTTGCATCTCCACACTGCTCATGGTGCCACCACTGCTGTGTGGTAGTTCTAATTCCATCAGGTCTCTTTCAGAAATAAGTGCTCTATTTATCTATTGTATGTCCTGTGAGGAAAGGCTGGGAGAGCTGGGGCTGTTCAGCTGGAGAGGAGGAGACTGAGGGGGAATCTGATCAGTGCTGATCAATATCTGCAGGGGGTGTCAGGAGGATGGGCCAGACTCTTCTCAGGGGTGTCCAGTGACAGGACAAAGGGCAATGGGCACAAACTGGAGCACAGGAGGTTGAACCTGAATATGAGAAAATACTTCTTGACTCAGAGGGTGACAGAGCCCTGAGACAGGGAGGTGGTGGAGTCTCCATCCCTGGAGACATTCCAAACCTGTCTGGATGTGTTCCTGGGGGATCTGCTCTAGGGGATCCTGCTCTAGCAGGGGGTTGGACTAGATGATCTCCAGAGGTCCCTTCCAACCCCCACCACTCTGTGATATAAAGCCTCAATGCAGTGCCCGGTACCTCACCCACCTTTCCTTCTGGCTAAACATGTTCCCTCCTTCTGGCTAAACATGTTTCCTCCCCTAAAAGCCTGATTCCACCCCAACCTCCCCCAAATCCCATGTCCTCACCCTGCGAGTGAAGGTTTTGCCACACTTGGAGCAGACAAAGGCAGCAGGGACAAAGTTGGGGTCGTGGTATCTTTTGAAGTGCATGTCCAGGAGCTGCTTCTGGCGAAAGGTCTTGTCACAATGGCTACAGGCATAAGGCTTTTCTCCAGTGTGGGTCCTTTTGTGCATGACCATGTGTCTCTCCTGACAGGGAGAAGCAGGACAGGAAAAATACAGGAAAGTGAGTTTTCAGCTAAAAGGAGACACATTTTATCCTTAGTACCAAGGAAAGGATGAATCCACAGGGAAGTGAGAACATCTTGATGTTCAGTCCTAGCAACTCCATCCTATGTGGCCTCTTGTCCCTTTGTCCAACTCAGCCTGTGGCTCCAACCTTTGGAGTCACAACCTTGATGTATCTGTTGACAACGTGTTCCAGTGGTCAGAGAGGCTGAACTAGAACAGTTTTGGTTGGAAAAGACCTTTAAGATCATGAGACATCAACAATGGAGAAGGACTTTTAGAAAGGGCATGGAGTGAGAGGGTAAGGGAGAATGGTTTTAAGCTGAAAGAGAGAAGACTGAGGTTCTTCCCTGTGAGGGTGGTGAACAGGTTGCCCAGAGAAGCTGTGGCTGCCCCATCTCTGGAAATACTGAGGGGCAGGTTGGATGGGGCTTGGAGTAACCTGGGCTGGTGGGAGGTGTCCCTGCCCATGCAGGGGTTGGGACTGGATGATCTTTAAGGTCCCTTCCAACCCAAACCATCCTAAGATTCTAAGGTAACCTCTCCAGGGGAGCACTACACCACCACCACAAAGCAAAGGCCACTGAACTTCCCTTCACACCCTCCAAAAGATCCAGAGAGCTAAGCTGAAATTCTTGCCCGTTGGTCAAACTGAACAAGCTCAGATATCCAGTTCCTATTTTCAGCTGTTCCTGTTCCACCAACACCTCCAAGGGGGGGAGGGGGCTTACCTGTCTGCAGGCATAATCACACTGGTCACACTTGAAGCGCTTCTCGTTCTTGTGGGACTTCTGGTGCTGGATGAGCGCGTAGCGCTCGTGGAACACGGCGTCGCAGTAACGGCACTTCTTGCCCTGCTCGATGTAGGAATGCTGCTTCCTCAAGTGGACACCTGGCAGGAACATTGGGGCATTTGATTGAGTTTGAAAAGGACCAGGGGCTTTCAGCAGACCACCAGCTTTCCAAGGATGAAAAGGATTTATCCTACAGGACCTTCATGCTCTTCCCTCCACGTTCTCTCAAGCTCACAAAAGTGAAGTAGTTACTTTAGGATTCAAGGCCTAAAAGGTTTGTAATTAAAAGCAACAAAACATTAAAAGCAACTTCTACAGGAAAGCTGGGGAGGGATTTTTGACAAGGGTTTGTAGTGAGGACAAGGGGGAAAGGTTTGAAACTAGAGCAGGGCGATTTAGATCAGATATTGGGAAGAAGGTCTGCACGGTGAGGGTGGTGAGACCTGGCTGCCCAGAGAGGTGGTGGAGGCCCCATCCCTGGGGATGTCCTAGGGCAGGCTTGATGGGGCTCTGAGCAGCCTGATCTAGTTAAAGAGGTCCCTGCTCACTGCAGGGGTGTTAAGACTGGATGCCCTTCAAAGGTCCCTTCCAACCCAAAGCATTCTGTGATTACAATTCCATCATTTCCAGACTGAAAGGTTTTGTGAAAAAACTCCATCCATGGGATTCTAGATCTGTTTCTTAGCAATCCATGCTGATACATTTGGTAATGTGAGTGTCCAGCTGAGTGTCTTGTGGACTGTGATGTGTAAGACTACTCCAAATTGCTTGGATCCAGCCTGAAGCCAGGCAACACATCTTGGGAAACAAGACTTTCTGCAGGATTTGAAGTCACAGGGCTAGAAGGAGACAGGGACACCAGCAGAGGTAAAACCCCAAAAGAGGTTTCAGTCACTTCTTTAAATCCTCCAACTAAGAGCACACCACAGCTGCACAGGGTAGCTCAGGGTACATGAAAGTGTTACTAGAAGATGAATTCACAGCTATCTCCTTTGCTCCTGATCTCCTCAGCCTGCCTCTCCCTGTAGCACTTCACACTTGCCTTTCTTGGAAAGGAGCCTGCCTTCCCATCCTTGGGTGATGTTCTGTTTATAGACAGAAAGTTCTGCCAAATCGTGGCTTCTTCCTTCTCAGCTGCTCTGGGCATGATGTTATTTTTCAGCTTCTTGAAGAACATAAAGGAGAACTTGCCTGCTGGAACCACACTGGGTACCACTCACTAGAGCAAGACTCTCCTACTGCAAGGACATGGGGCTTTGTGACAGCCCAGGCTCTCCTGCCTGAGCACACAGCTCCAAACCATGGAAAATTAAACTGTTTAGGTTAATCCAAAACTCTTAGTTTGATGGAAATATCTCTGCATGAAACTTGACAGCCTCCAATGTGCAGGAGGTCAAGTCAAGTCACCTTTGGGGTTTTCAGGCCTGAATCCACAGGCAGCTGTAATCTTAGTCCAAGTTTAATCACAAAATCCCACAACTGGTTTGGGTTGGAAGGGACCTTCAAGATCATCTAGATCCACCCCCTCCATGGGCAGGGACACCTCCCACCAGCCCAGGTTGCTCCAAGCCCCATCCAACCTGCCCTTCAACCCTGCCAGGGACACCCTGGCAGCCACAGCTTCCCTGGGCAACCTGGGCCAGGCTCTCACCACCCTCACACCAAACAATTTCCTCCTCATGTCCAACCTCAATCTCCCTCTTCTAGTTTTAATCCCTTCCCCTTGCCCTCTCCCTCCCTGCCCTTGTCCCAAGTTCCTCCCCAGCTTACCCTGTAGGCCTCAGAAAACCCAGTAACTTCCTTTGTACACCTGGAAAACATGCTACATTTTCAAATAATGAAAAGAAACTGCTAGTTATCAGCTGCATAAACTCAAGGTGGCACTACCAGCCACACATCTAAGCCTGTGCTGCAGGTTGCACTTACCAGAACTATTAGGTTAAAGAAAACCAACAAGAGAGAGAGTAGCTGGGGTATGTGAACTCTAATTTTGAGGGGTATTTTGCAGAACCTTCAGGAAATGGTCACTCCTGAGAGATACCCACCCAAGTCACTCTTTCTGGCTATAACAGTATCACAGTGAGGACAGTGAAATTTGGCCACGTTCTCCGTGTGCTTCTGCAGAATGTGCATCTTCATGGTTCCACTCTGAGTGAAGCGAGCGTGGCAGATGTAACATTCATATGGCTTCTCTCCTGCAGGGGCAGAAGGAGGGAAAAGAAATGACACAAGTACTTTAATTAAAAAGAAATCTCACCAACAAGCCCCAAACAAAACAACCTCCCAGACATTTGTGACAGCAGGGAGCTGACAGGAACAGGAACTCTAAGAAATGACAAGTAATGTCTCTTTCTCTAGAAGTTCCAGCCCCAACATGTATCTTTTTGTAGAAAGAGATTCCAATGAGTTAAATTATTCTCCGTCCTCTGAGAAATGCATGGAAGACCTATAGGCTGCCAGAAGAGAGCATTAGGTTTTTTGGGGCCAGGGGTTCTGAATGATCATATATATTTATATATTCTAGGAGTTTTTTTCCCCTTCAATCTCAGCAATATTATTAACCTGGCACTCCAGTAACATTCTGTGCTAAAACCCTGTTGCTTCTGTTGAAGAAAAGAATTAGGATTTTTACGAACTACATGCATGAGAAGCTTTTCTACTACTACCCTGGCTATAAAGTTCAACTGGAAGTGAAGCACTGATAAAGAAGTGCCTAAATTTTATCACCTCACAGTCAAACTGGAAATCAGAACAGTCCAAGCTCATTTCTAAGTGCAATAATTACTATTGGTTTATTAATTTAGTAGCACTTAAGAATCATGCTGCATTTTCTTTGGCTACAGACTTCATGAAGGTTTTATATTAAACTACTAAATAGTATTTAGAATTATAAAATGGTTTTATGTTGGAAAGGACTTTAAAGATCATCTAATCCCAAACCCCTGCATGGGCAGGGACACCTCCCACCAGCCCAGGTTGCTCCAAGCCCCATCCAACCTGCCCTTCAACACTGCCAGGGATGGGGCAGCCACAGCTTCCCCAGGCAACCTGTTCCAGTGACTACTTCCTTTGCTGTTAAGAGTGTTTGTGCACATTGTGCACAGCCTCAGCACTCTGACACTGAAGAAACGTGGCATCCATACCAGAGTGGGTCCTCATGTGCCTCTTCAGTTTGTAGGTGTCCCTGCTGGCGTAGCTGCACAAGCTGCACTGGAACGGGCGCTCTCCGGTGTGAGACCGAATGTGGCGTTTCAATTTGCTAACCTGCAAATCAAGAGCAAGGCTGGAGTTTAGCACAGAGGGGCAAGCCAGGGGGCCAAAAGTGCAAGAAATCAGTCAAGAGTTTAAGGCAGTCTGGTTTTATCTTGTCACTAAACTGAGCAAGCATGTTTCAATGCTGTTCCCACAGCCACTCAACTCCTGCCTGCTTCACTTCTCATCCTCATGCCCAGTCTTGCTTGATGCTTGTTCCCACATTCAGTGGAATCTGGTTTGGAGTTCTGTGCTCACCTGACTCATCAACCATCTCAGCAGCCGGAGACATGCTAAAATTTGAAAGTATCCTGGAGAGACAACACAAAGTGTTCTGGGAAAGCAGGGACCCCAGGAACATGGTGCAAGGTTAAGCGTCCCCTCTAAAGAGCATCTGTCTCCACAAGGTGCTCTCTTGGGTCCTCTCCAGTTACTTTGAGAGGGATGAGAAATCAGTATCTTGCTAAGACCAACAGAAATCTAGCCCTGCAATGAACCTTCATTTCTTTCCTCTCCTGCTTCTACCTAGGAGGCACAAACCCAGCTTAAGGGTCAGCACAAACACAAATGTTACAGCATCTTCTGCTCAAACACGACCAGTCTGCATGACCACCAACCTGTGGCTACAAAAGGCACCACAAGCACTATCCTTTCCTAACTCATACTGTGAAAACCAGTGCAACACCATTTATTCCCCACCCAAACCACAGGGCCAGCACTGCAGCCCCAAATCCCTACCCAGCCTCTCCCCCTGGAGCCCTCCTGCCACTGCACACAGACTTTTTTTAATTATGCTGCTCATCATCTTGCTCTTATTTCTAAACCCAGTACAAAAGGTCTCCTGTAGCACCTCTCCTGTTGAAGACAGGCTGGGAGAGTTGGGGTGTTCAGCCTGGAGAAGAGAAGGCTCCAGGGAGACCTTAGAGCACCTTCCAGTGCCTGAGGGGGCTCCAGGAAAGCTGGGGAGGGACTTGGGACAAGGGCAGGGAGGGAGAGGACAAGGGGGAAGGGATTAAAACTGGAAGAGGGAGATGAGGAGGGAATTGTTTGGTGTGAGGGTGGGGAGAGCCTGGCCCAGGTTGCCCAGGGAAGCTGGGTCTGCCCCATCCCTGGCAGTGTTGAAGGGCAGGTTGGATGGGGCTTGGAGCAGCCTGGGCTGGTGGGAGGTGTCCCTGCCCATGCAGGGGGGTGGGACTGGATGATCTTGAAGGTCCCTTCCAACCCAAACCAGTCTATGACTCCAGGATAAGGGTCTGTGCCGCCCAGGGCAGAGCATTCAAGGAAGCTTATTTGCTAGAGCAAATTAGACAACCACCCAGCACTAGCAAAGCTGCTTTTTGCAAACATTGAGGCAAAGGCTCAGTTTTGGTGACAGTCACCTCAACGGCCTCACCAGCTAACGAGCAGAACACCCATTTCTAAAATGGGAGGGCACCTCTAGCCTGGAAGCACAGCCTAGTGCAGCAGGAGATGGCTGCCTCCTTCAACACAGAGCACAATACAGATGCTGCAGTCATCTGAGAGGCTCAGTAGCTTAAGAAACAAGATCAACTATAGCCTCCAAAGAGGAAATGGGTATTACTGAGGATTTCTCTGCAGAAATGCTCTCCAACTGTTTTCCCTTTCATCAAGGAAACCCCAGAGCAGATCTCATTTATAACTTCAGAGCCTATCAAACAGCCAAAGAGGAAATGCCTGAGAACGGAGTTGATAACAGATGGAGAACAAGCTCTGAAGTGTCCAAGAAGGTGCTGTAAGAAGGAACCAACATACCTCCACACTGGCATAATCACACATGGAACATTTGAAGGGTTTCTCGTGGGTGTGTTTGTAGCGGCGGTGCCGAACCAACTCTCCACTGGTCACAAAGGCCATGTCACAGTCTGGGCACTTGTGAGGGCGAGTACCTGGTGGGGTGCAGCAAGACAACAACAGCACGACACTGATTTAGTGACAAAGGGAAAAGATGGGACAGGTTTTGTTGGCTTTTGGTGCTTTTTTTTGAAGCCTCTGAAAGATCAGAGCAGCAAACAGTGCAGAAGAGTCACAACTTCCGTGTAAATAAATAAGACCTTAGAGAATTCATATCCTTTCAAATGATGGAACAAACTCCCTTCTTTTTCTATCATTTGGTTTTTTCAAACCATCCAGTTAGATACAATGTAGGTAGGCAGAGAAAATGAGTTATATTGTACTTTTTTTTTTTGGTAGAAAGGGTCACAAGAAGCTTCATTACAGTTCAATTACCTGTAGTTTTATACCAGAAACTTGTGTAAGGAGAAGCAGAAGTTTGCTACATTTCCAGGTTTTATTGGCCTAGTTCATCATCTATTCCTTGGGGTTTGATCTTTTTGCTTTTCCTTTTGGGGTTGCTTTTTTCCCCCCCACTATTTCAACTCCCTTATGTTTAGCTCCTCATTCTCCCATTTCCACAATGACAACATAAATCTCAGAGTACAACTACTCCTGTCCAAGATAAATGGAACATTTTCTGTCACTTTGGGTAATGTCAGAGCAAGCCCAGGATCTGCTTTGTACCTGTGCACAGGATGACCTTTGCACCTGACCTGGTCAAGCAGAAAACTGTGTTCAAATGAGAAACCAGTTGCAGTGTTGAAGAGTTTCTTCTATTTTAGCTTGTTCTGCAAGAAGAACCCAACAGATTCCAGACAGATCCAGCCTGGTTTTCTATCAGTTCTAATCACAGAGCAGATCCTACAAAAACCAACGTGCCCAAAAGCAGCAAGAGTACCTGTGTGAGTGTTGAGGTGGTTCCTCAGCAACGTGACCGTCCGGAAAGCCCTGCCACAGAGATGACACTTGTGTGGCCTCTCATCAGTGTGGCTCTTCATGTGGCGGTCCAGGTTGGAACGGCGCGGACAAGTGTAACTGCACAGTTCACACTGGAATGTCTTCTTTACACCTACCCAGGAAGGAAAGCATCTTTACTCTTCACAGTACTGTGGTCTCCTGCATCCCACAGAAGATCAGCAGGGAAAAGGCAAGATTCTTGGAGGTGTAACTACTCCAAGGGACCACCATGTACCAGTAAACCCAACTGCAGATCCTCGGAAACACCTGCTGCTGCTGACTGGCTTGGCTTCAGTTTTCATTTCATGCCAGCACTCAGTGTTCCTGCTCTGCTCTAAAAAGTGTTCCTCAATTTACAGTTTTAAGACAAGCCAACCATACCCTCTGGCTGTACTCTGCACCATCTACCCTCCCCAACAATGACTTAGGGGAAAACCCACAGAATTAATGATACTGCTGGTTCATGATGTCAAGTCCACGTCCAGCAACTCTTCCACATGCCTTGAAGCAAAGAGTATCTTCAGTTTTAGTTCTATGGGAATCCTAATGGGCCAGCATCCCACTTGATAGCCAAGATGGAGGAGATGGGAGGTTTGCCCAAGAAACAACTGAGCCAAGTGCTCTTACATCAAGTGTTGGTGCCACTGGGCACATCAGCTTTACTCCCACTTGTATTTACTCAGTCACTTTGCAAAGGTCCCACCATAACAAATACATTTTAAAATCCACTTGCAGATGGGGAGCTTACCTTTCTTTTTAATTTTTGTTGGTTTAGGTGGCTTCATGTTGCCCACCACCTTTTCTGCATTGACCTCAGACAACAAACCTTCCTGCTGCTCCTCTTCAAAGTCATACACAGAGACATCCACATCTTTGCCCTCCTCGGTGTAGCGAAGCTTACTCTTTTTGTTTTTCTTCGTTTTTTTGGCTGGTGGCTGATAGTCTGGATCTTTTTGCCAATTGGGATCTTCCTGTGGCTGAAGTTCACCTTGTTCCAGTGTCTCCACCTCACCATTTGCACCCACTTTCACTACCTGGAAGCCTTCTGGTAAAGGAAGGGTGTGACAGATCATGGGCTCTCCCTCTTGCAGGCCTCCTTTGGAAACCTCATTCTCATAAGCTCCCTGAAGTTCCTCCACAGATGTGGTGGCAACAGGTACAGTCACTGGTACAGGTACTTGGACCAGCTGAAGCTCACCAAGGTTTATAGGCTGCTCTTCCATATTAACAACCTGAAGGGTGATGATTTGCGTGTCATCCACTGTAGCCTCTGTTTCTTGAGGCACTGCACCTTCCATGACTTCAGTCTTCATCTGAAGAAGAGCTGGATCCAGCTGTTCCATCATCACCATCTGCACACCACTGTTGACATCCTGCACTACTTCCCCTCCATCTGCTTGGTTGGCTGGTAGATGACAAGCATCATCCTCCTGCCCACCTTCACGGCGCCTCTGGTAGGTTTTTCTCTCTTTCCCCTTAATAAAAGTTTCCGATTCCTCCACGATGGCTTCAACTGCCTCACCTTCCATTTCACCTTCCTGCTGTAAAAACAAGAGAATCAATGTCACACCCACCAGCTCTACCACCTGCACAAAACCCCCAGAGGGACAAGGGCACAACTGAAAACAACCAGCTCAGCAACAGTAACATTGCAAACACTTGAGAACTGTCTCCACTAGCCTCGTGCCACCCCAAACCCAGACAATCCCAGAACTCTGCCTGGAGTAAGACAACTCTACTGGTTTCTTGGAAGGGCAGGAAAACAAGGAGGAGAGATGAAGTGACACACGTGTCCCCATTTCTCAAAGACCCAAACCCCACAAGCAAGATGTGCAGCAGTGTTAGTCCTTCTTGAGCTTCTTCAGTCACTTCACACAGCTGAGCAACGTCAAGAAGCAGTCTTTGGCCATACATTTTTAAAATAACACATTGTTAAAAGTAAAAATCCAACCTCAGAAGTATTACTTTGAGAACTGCAGAACTCTTCCAGGAGGAAAAAGCGCTAAGAACAGAGCACGAGAAGTTAAACCTCACTTGCTTCGTGTCACACAACCAGTGTTTCCTGCGTGATTCAATTTATTTGAAAGAAAAAGGCCACCCTTGAGCTAGTCAGGTCTATTTCTTGTGAGCAGCCTGGGGTTCAATCCCTGTTCCCAGGGCTGGGCACAGCCTGGACTGAGCAGGGGATGGCGCCTGGTGCCCCCTTGGGGCACAGCGAGCTGCAGCAGGCAGACCAGCCTCGGGGACAATTTCACCTCAGTTTAACCCATGTGGACTCAAAGCTGGTGGACTCTAATGAGTCTCATGATACTTGGGTCCCACCTACCCACATAAACAACCAGCAACACTGCAGCTCAGCATTTTGATGGGGCTCCACTGCAGCTCTGAAAACAGCTCTGTTGTTACAAGCACAACATGGAGGTTTTCCTCCCTGCCAAAGGACTGTTCTCTGCACTCTGGGTACAAGATGAAATTCCCATCTTCTCATTCTGCAGGAAGCTGGTTTCCAGAGTGACAGCAGCATTAGCATTTTGCAGCCATGTCTTTTTCCCCAAATGAAAATGATAAAAAATCCTACTGAAGGAGTCTTTCCTCAGTCTACCTCTGTTTCAAGTGGTGGATCCCACAGCCATGTCACACACAATCCCTGCACTGGGATACAATTTATTACACCCCCTCACTTTAAAAGGTACCAAAGTCAATTTTCCTCTTGAAACAAGTAACAACAAAAAAACATCCAGTTTCCTTACAAAGCTTGGGAAAGGTCTGACTCTTAATTCCAGATTTGTTAAGTCTTCCACACACGACTAACTGGCCCTTCAGACCAGCTCATGGAACCTACTTAACTTGGTTTGGGAACTCACCACTTAAATGTCACATCACAGCACTCCCAAGTATCTACACTTCATCTCACACACCCAGTTTTGAAACACACAGGTTTCTACACATGAACAAGCAACAGGGCTGTCAGCCTTCATCAGCTTGAAGATTTCCATGTCATTATTATTTAGAACCATAGAATCATAATCATAAAACTATTCAGGTTGGACAAGACCATTGGGATCACCCAGTCCAACCATCATCCCTACTCTGCAAAGTTCTCCCCTAACCCATCTCCACCAACACCACATCCAAACCACCCTTAAACACATCCAGGGATGGTGACTCCACCACCTCCCTGGGCAGCCTGTTCCAGTGTCTGACCACTCTTGCTGGGAAAAAATCCTTCCTAATGTCCAGTCATATCATATCCTAGAACCATTCAGGTTGGAAAAGACCCTTGGGATCACCGATTTTTAGAGAGCCCTTGCTCTTTTACTCTCCTGCCTTTCCACTTCTGCTGTGAGAACAATGCAGCTCACCCTGTTCCCCAGCCTGTCATCCATCCCCAGCTGTCCCGACAGCCCAGCTGTCCCGACAGCCGTCGGCAGGGGGCAGCAGCTCCCCAGAAATCCCGACATAAGGCTCCACCAGCATTCCCGGCAGGGATCCAGCCTCTCCTTTCCCACCCAGCAGCTTCTCAAGTCAGAGCAAATCCATATGGACAAACAGCTGAAGTCCACGAGATGATGTCAGTGCTTCCCAGCAGGCAGCACAACGGAGCCCTGGTCTTTGCCCTGCAGCAACTGCAAAACAATTGCAGCAGTTTTTCCTTTTTTTTTCCCCCAATTATCTCCAGTATTTGCAGAGAAAAAGCCTCTTCCAGGGACCAGAAGTCTCTGAACAAGTAAAGGAAGGACAGAGCTAAATTAATATAAAGATGTTGTAGGTGGCTGGGTTGGAATAATAGAAGATTTAAGGTGGAGAGGGGTTGGAAATGGCAAAAGTCCATCTGCAAAGCAAATGCAATTCCACTCTGCCTTGCAGAGGAACAGAGGTCAGCAAGTCAGCAGCACAGGCAGGGCTCTCAGAAGGAGCTTCACATGAACTGCTCAGCTCAAAGCTGGAAACAAGGCTGCTAAGTCACCTGGAAGGCAGCCAGGAGGGCATGGCCTGCCAGTGTCCTCCTGGGGCCTCCAGCAGCAGGTCCTCCAGTGGAGCAGTGGGAAAGCTTCATCTCCCAGATTTGCACACCAGAAAAATCCTGTGTCCACCAAGGAACAGGCCACTCTCAGGTGAGGACTCTGACGCAGGACTCAGGCTGTCAGGAGGGCTTGCCAGCCCAGGAGCACAGGCTGTGACTAAAGACACACAAGCAGGCGAGCCCTTGGTCAAAGGATGCTCTGGGGTGTGAAACAAGCAGAAGGGCTTTTACAACCAGACATCCCTGTTTCTCCCAGCTCCCTTATCCCTTATCCCTGGCCCAGAGCACCTCCAGGGAAGGCAGCAGCAGGAGCTGCTGTCCTCCAGCGGCCACAGCCGCGCACTGCAGCTCTGCCACCGCCTCCAACCTCAGGACCTGCTTGGGAAAAGACCTTTGGGATCAGCAACCTCAACCAGAACCTAACACCACCAACCAGCAAAACATTTCAATTTGGAAAAGACCTTTTCTTCATTCTGACTCTGACCTCCTGCACCCCAAAAACTCAGCAGAGGGGTGAGCATTTACTCCTGCCTGTTCCATGCTCTGCACCACAGTCTGTTCCTGTCCACAAAAGCAAATTCATCTTAAAATGATTATTTTTTAACCAGGCTCTTGCCAGCAGGGAAAATTTTACAGTATTTTAAAGAAAACTACAAACCACTCCAGGTTAGATTCACAACATGCATTAAAAAGACAGAAATACACAGGAGCCTCACACTGATGTCTTAGCCAGCTCAAAAATCCTGCCAAGCTGCCAAGATTTCTCCCAAGAAAGTGTGGACTTTCCAACTGAAATTATTTCTAAATGAAGTAATTTCTGAATAAAATTAATTTTAAAAATGAATTGAAAATTTAAAAACTGATCAATTAGGGGAACACAGGATGGGCCCTAAACTTCAGAGAGAAAGGGAGGCAAAATGGACAGGTTCTCCCCAATTGAACATACTCTGGAGAAACTCTCCTTGCTGTGCAGAGCCTGTCCATGTCACTCCTCAATCATTCTGTCTTAGAAGTATTTCCCAGCTTTTTTCTTTTCTCTATTTTTTTTTAACTTAATCCTCCTTTTCTACAAAGGAAAGGAGGATTTTCTGCAAAAAAAACCCTTTTCCACAACATTTTAAATATCATGGAATCCCAGACTGGTTTGGATTGGAAGGGACCTTAAAGATCATCCAGTTCCAACCCCCTGCATGGGCAGGGACACCTCCCACCAGCCCAGGTTGCTCCAAGCCCCATCCAACCTGCCCTTCAACACTGCCAGGGACGGGGCAGCCACAGCTTCCCTGGGCAACCTGGGCCAGGCTCTCACCACCCTCACACCAAACAATTTCCTCCTCATGTCTCACCTCAATCTCCCTCTTCCAGTTTTAATCCCTTCCCCCTTGTCCTCTCCCTCCCTGCCCTTGTCCCAAGTCCCTCCCCAGCTTTCCTGGAGCCCCTTCAGGCACTGGAAGGTGCTCTAAGGTCTCCCTGGAGCCTTCTCTTCTCCAGGCTGAACACCCCACCTCTCCCAGCCTGTCACCAGAGCAGAGCTGCTCCAGCCCGTGGACCATACACACTGGAAGAGTCACCAGAAGATACTGGATGTGACCCTGCATCTTGCTGAGGATTTTGCGTTTCCACTAATTTTAGCAGAATCATGATCTCCTCAGCCTTTTACAGATTTACACTCCTAAAAATGACCCAGCCAAGTGTTGAGAAAATGTTCAGGTATTTCAGAAAACGTGTCATTTGGTCCAACTGAGACCACTGTGGCTGAACACCAGAACAAGAACTGCTCAACAGATTTTGTCTTACCAGTCTCCCAACCTTTTCTTTCTGGCTTTTCTCCTCATCTCTCTTCCTACCAGTTACTGTACCTTAAACCAGTAGCTTAGCTCCACAATGACTGAATCTAAAAAGGAAAAAGCAGGAGGTTAAATGAAGATGATTTGGAAAAATCAAGACCGAAAAAGAAATGAGAGAGAAGAGCTTCCAGAATAAGGAGAGTGACCCAGGAAAGACCAAGAACAGCTGAAACCACTACAATTCCCTTGTGTGGCTCAAGCCAGTGATCACACAGGTGCTGGCTGTGCAGGAGACACTGTGTCACTGCACAGCTCAGCACCCTGTCACAACCCAATGAGCAAGGCCAGAAGTTGTGACATCCCGGACAGACCTGAGGTTTCCCAAGCACCTGCTGGGCAGCTCACCTGAAACACTGGACCAAGCAGAAACCAGGTGGGGCATGTGTTTGATACAACTGCTTTTTCATATCTTCCATTGGAATAAGTTCACAGAATCACAGAACATGTGGGGTTGGAAGGCATCTTTAAGGGTCATCTAGTCCAAGCCCCCTGCAGTGAGCAGGGACCTTTTTAACTAGATCAGGTTGCTCAGAGCTTCATCAAGCCTGACCTTGAATGTCTCCAGGGACGGGGCCTCCACCACGTCCCTGGGCAACCTGTTTGAGTGCTTCACCACTCTCACTGTGAAGAACTTCTTCCTAATGCCTGATCTAAATCT